CTATTCAATGTGAAAACACAGGTAAGAATACAATACTAAAGTATGCAAATAGTGTAAAGACCTAAAAACAGATTCTATACATGATAAATCAGAAATTTACACTTAGTATTTCTCACTGTTGTGTTGCTGGGATTCCCATTAAATATCTTCATTGGGCTTAATCCAGTATTTCTTTATTTCTACACTTTTCTTAATTTTTTTTTTGTTTTGGTTTTTTCGAGACAGGGTTTCTCTGTGGTTTTTGGAGCCTGACATTTACCAGATTTTGCAGTCACTAAAGAGAACGAGACTGCTTGACTAAAGGTTACTGATAATGAACTAAAATTTGCAGTGTGATTTACCTTAAAGAAAGTCAACACCATTTAAGATACTAGGAAAATTTTTAAAAACTGCTTTGTTTTTTAACAAAAATCCAAGTCATAGTACCCAATGACTAGAAAATTAACATATACACACATATTTAAACAGTTTTAATAAATTATGGCTCTTCATTTAGTATTTCAAATATGTACCCACCTACACACTCACATGGATTACAGAGGAGAAACAGCCGATAAGCCCAAGATTATGAGGTCTCAACCATAGATAAAAAACCAGTCAACTACAGAATACTGAGAGTGGGATAAAGTCTTCCTGAGGGAAAAAAATGCCCCAACTGGCTATCCAATACCAAGTGGTCAGCCCTGAAATAACACTCATGGACTAGCATGTTGTCTTTAAGTACTTAGGAATGCACACAAACACACATTTAAAGAGCCCATGAATTTGAGCAAGAGGGGTACATAGAAGGTGCTGGAGGGAGGAAAAGGAAGGGGGAAAAAGACATTAATTTTAAAAGTTAAAAAAATTAAATTGCCTCTTAATGTGTATCAGGATCACTTGGATACCCGAACACAGATTGCTGCTTCTGACCCCCAAGAAAACTGTGAGGCCTCAGTTTTCTGACAAAGAGTATATATAATCTCTGGTGAAGGAGGCTGAGACTAAAAGTGAACTTTGACATTGGCTTCCATTCCTAGACTTGACCTTATCTTGGTAACTACCAAAGACAGAAATCAACAACCTACTAGGCCAATATCACAACCATTTCTTTTTCATGCTTAAGAGGTTCCCATTACATATCTTAAGACAAACAGTCATGCAAGAAACTGGCTTTCCCCTAACACTAGATGGATGAAATCACTTTGAAGATGTTGAAGAAGTTGAAAAAACTTAAGTTTTACAAATTTAAAAACTTCATGTTCACCAGTAAAACCTGAGTCAGCAATAATAAGCATCAATCAGCAACACTTAGAACATTTGAAATGTTACTATTACAGAAACAATATGATTGTGTTTGGAAACTATCAAAAAAGTATTAAAATTTTATCCAGGTCAAAGTTTCTCTTTACAAGTGAACGAGGCATGTAAGTTCATTTTAGGAATTTGAATATATGAAGCAGAAAGAAAATATTTTCACAATATAATAATATGGTGGCACAATGAAAAGAGAACAGCAAACGGTACGTAAAAGAAATGCACGATGGAGCAGAGCCGCACACCACTCAGGATATCCCTGTGTCCCCAAGCTCGGCCATTCAGAGTTCACAGCAGAAGGCAGAAAGGTGTGGAAAGATTGGTGGTTAGTAACTTGCCCTTGAGAAGGAAGAAAATGAAGAGCAGGGGAATAAAAACAGCTCAGGAAAGAATATGGTCATAAAACATGGAAATGATATGGATGACCATCACACATCTGGGGATCTGAATCAGACTGTGAGAATTATGAATTGCATAATTATGAGACTATTCTTATGATAACTGAAAAATTTCAAACGAACTATGATGTTTTTGGAAGACTGTTGGAAATCCAGATGCAGTTCTTTCATATAAGGTGTTAACAGAACATAACAAGTCACTATAAATTACTTATAGAGAAAAATAAAAACATGAAGAGGTTAGTAAAATGCAGAAGGAGCGCTAAGAAACAAAAGTGGAGTCACACAACATGTAAATGTAAGCAGAAATTGGACTCCTCAATTTAGTCTTGAAACAAGCTCAAAGAAGAAATGCTCGTCTTTTAAGTGAAAAAATAAGGATGTTACATTTTTTAAAAATTCGTAATTCAATAAAGAAGTAACAACTTGAAATTTGTCTTAGAAAACAATGGAAATGAAAAAAAAATCTAAGAAATGAATGAAGTAAGAAACAAGCAACAGGTCAAGAAAATTAAGAGAAATTAATAAGAAATCACACTGCTTCAGTCATCAGACAGAACTCAAAGTTCAAAATCTAGGATATAAACTCTTTAAAATGGATTAAGTATTAATGAAGTAAAGCTGGAAAAACATAAGGGATGTTACCTGGGAAAACTGGGAATTAGAAACTCATCAAATGAGCTGAGAAAGACTAAAGATACCTGAAAGAGATCAATACCCAATGACTCATACAAGGAAGCACAACACATCTTGGCTAAAAGCACGGAGCAGGTGACATGCCCCTGAGTGCTCTTGTATTGTAATTCCTGCAGGTACTTGGGACCCAACAGATGTTTCCTTCCACAAGAAAATTTGGTGACTGCGACTTAGGGCCGACCAACAATCTCAAGAGCCTTTCAAAACGTAAGAGAAAACCGTCCTTCCGTCATAAGTCAGCAGGAACACCCCAATTTCAAATCTGCAATCAGAACTCTAAAAAACAAGTCAGGAATAGTCAAATAAAACAGAAAGAGAATAAATGAGCATCTCTATCTGGAAAGATTGAAAGCACAAACTCATCATATAGTAGCAAAGTCTGAGGGTAAAATGTGGCCCGTGAGAAGCACTCTGAGGAAATGACTCTGTTCCTGAGTGTTCCGCTGTTGCAAAGCTTCACATACAGTATGGAACTCAACACTCTAACATCAGTGTTCCTGTCATGGCGCACTGCTAAGTCCGGACAGCTACTAGCTCAGAGGCAGTCATGCTAGTTTTTCTTTGGATTTCAGGTTTCTGATATAATTGTTTTTACTTTGATAAAATACAGAATAGTTAACTTGTTTTAAGTTAAACATACAATAATGTATTGATAAAGATAACAAACTATACATTTTTAAAGTTCCCAGAGTTCTCATTTTTAAGAGGTAGTCTTTTCTTAATTTAATAAATATAACTAATCCAGTAAGTTTTAACTTTCTTTTAAAAGCTTTATCTTCAATATAGTTAGGAAAAAATGCCTATGATTAGAGGAAAACTTGGAAAGCTTTGGATTAGCCTTGAGGTGAATTCAAGTTCAGCTATAATTCATAGTACTTTGAAACACTCATGTAACGAATTCATCAAAGACCCAGAGAGGAATTCTCTGTATGACACTTACAACCCTGTAAACCCAAATGTTCAACTTCTGCCTTAAGCTCTTAGTAGTTTCTTAAATAAGACTATAATATTTTTACAATACTTACCATGCTCATGTCTATTTTTGTAAAACAAGGTCATTGTATTCTTTAGGATTTCATTAGTACTAAAATTGTTTCATTAAGCAAATATTTGAGCTTTCAGTTCCTGTGTCTCCCAAAGTTGCCTCCACATCACTGCAGGCTAAAATGCAGTGATATCAACGGCAATTAAATATTAACTACCATGAAGAATGAGTAATAGTTTTTCTGTCCGGAATTTCATGCTAGCTGTAAGACTCAAGTTTTACTAAGTATCCATTTTTGGATATCTAAAGCTAACTACAACAATAACAGGTTCAGAAAACAGCCAAATTAGCTTAACTCAAATGAGATATATGTCTAGTTTGACTACCATTTTTTTCACCCAGAATAAATTGTAAAAAATATTTGAACAAAATAAAAAAGTAGATAAAAACAATTTTCATGTACATATAGTGTTATTAAAATATCCATTTAAGTTAGTGAAAAAGAAAGGTGAAAAAATGTTAATCATCTCAGTTGTGGAACTAGATTTAAGTTTATGAATCATAAATTTTTAAAAAGTAAAAACATAAAAGGTTAATGTTTGTATTACCTAAATAGACACATTCTTCAGAAAAAAATTTTAAAAAGCAAAGTTATATTTTTATATAACTTTTTAATATAATTTTTATTTTATATAATTTTATATTCCTATTTTTACCTTTTGGCAGAAACAAAATTTTTTTTATTACTGTTTTTAATGCAATTCAGACTCACAGTTGAAAAAAAAGTTTAAGCACCGAAATTACAAATTCTCCTAAGTTAAATGGCGGACGAGGCAACACAAGTGACTAGTTTTCCCACCACACTTTTCAACTCTACTAAGAACCTGACGCTGCCAACACATCCGGAGCAGCTGAGAGTCCATCTTTAATGCCCAAGGATCCCTCCTCCCTAGTCTGACTACCTTATCTGAGAAATAGAAACCAGTAAGCACAAAGCACTCTGAAAACCATAGAAAGAGTAGACACAGGTGGTTTCCAACATCACTACCCATTTCAGCTTAGCACTGCTAGCATTCATCTGGACACGTCACTTACGTCTCTGCCTCTGGAATCTACTTCTAAATACTGACACTGCATGTTCATTTCTTTAAAACAAGCACATTAAGTGAACTGGTATACATAAATTTGAAAACTGTAAGCTCTTGACTATTCACAACCACACTTGATCTTCCCAAAAACGACACAATTCTTATGTTCTGACAGAGCAGTGTGTGAAGCATAGCTGTGGGAACGTTTCAAGATTATCAACCAAGAGAGGTCTCTGTTTGATGGTAACTGACAAAATTTCAGTTTTTAAAATGTCTTAAAACAATACCAGTGTATTTTTTATAGACATATAGTTCACTATATGAACATTTTAAAAGCCCCTGAAAAAGTCAAACCCTTTGTATTCTGAATATTTGAAGTTTATTCAAACAATATGTCAAATTCAAACTTATAGTGAGGTATATTTTCTTTTCAAACATTAGATACCTAGGAAAATATGAAACACCATGAAAAATTTCAAGTTAAATTCATAGGCTTGCTTTGTTTTTACTTTAATCTGTCATATAATACATTGTGCCTTGACTCTTCAGATACGTAATTTAATGAAAAAAGAACTGAACATGATCATTTTCAGCATAAGAGCAGTAAGAAAAAGAGGATGAACGCATTTCTGTGAGTTGCTTTAAAAGCATGAAGTCATTATTGTGCCTTTAGGTAAGTACTGGAGATCACATACGATCACTAATTAGAAAAGTATCAGAAAAACTTAGTAACAATCTTCTGGCAGTGTTTAAATAACTGAATGTGTTCTGTGAAAAAAAAATCTATGCAGGAAAAATTTTGAATCAAAGTTTTGCTTCTGATAGTATGGGCTTCAACCCACAGAAAACATAAACAATAAATTTTTTGGTCAAGTTCTTTTCAGTTTGAGAAACAAAAATTTTTAGAACTTAAATATGCACACCATTAAAATTAGTAATTTGAAAAATTATGCTGATAAAGATTAATTACCCTGTCTAGCAATGTTCCAACAATTTCACACATTTCAAATATTAAGGCAATTTTTTCCAACTAACAGTACATTATAAAAATATATGTCACAGCAAAACAGTATGTACATAGTGACAATAAATTTAGCTAGTTGTAGTCTTTAATACATTAATACAAGGTCACATATTACAAAGAACTCAGACCAGGTGCTTGCCTGTATATGCAAGTAAACACAGTTCTTAAAGCACGGGTTTTAAAACTGAGCGGAGTGAACGTCCTTCTTTAGTGAGCTCTCGAGTCACACACATGCACGGCAGTGGGACTGCTTCCTCCCGTTTCTCTATAACATTGTAACTGCAGTTCTTCAAGTGGTCAGCCATGCTTAGGATGTCAGCAAATTTCCATTCATTAACAGAACAAAATGCAGTACTGAATCGCCATACCTAGAAGAAAATTCTACTTTAGATTTAAATAGTCCAATAGACAGAAAATCAGAATACCCTTTTGGCTCTGCTCTACCTGTTGTAATTCATACAGAAACATAAAATATCAAGTTACAAACAGCTTAAAATTAAAAAGGAATAAATCCATTGTTATTCAGGCTTGTCAAAAGTGGTGTTATCCACTTCCTCCTATAAACTTTCATCTCTAGGTTACTCATCATACCAAATGCAATTTGTTGTGTAGTAATATTACATTGTCTACGGAATAATCAACAGGAATATGTGTGCAGTGCATTTTCAGTGTATTTTTCTCCTAAATATTTTCTTAGCTGCAGTTGGATTAGTCTACACGACTTGGAAGCCACAAAGACAGAAAGCTAACTTCACACGGTAAGCAGTAGATGCTCTAGAAAGTAGCAGTACTGGGAAGGGAGTAGCATTCATAACAATTTCTCAAGAGGGTAATGGCTTCCAAAGTAGCCAGATGCCTTAAAATTCAGTGACAAAAGAACAATTTTCAGCTGACAAGAGCATCCATCATTGCTGCCAGGCCTATAGTCCCAGCTACCCAGGGGATGAGGCAGGAGGATAACAAACTTAAGTCCTACCTGAACTACCGAGTGAATTCTAGGCCAGCCTGGACAACTCAGTGAAGGCCTCCATTATAGTAAAAAAGAGAAAAGGGGACTGGGAATCAGTTAAGTAAGAATATTTGCATGGCACACAGGAACCCCTAGGTTCAACCCCCAGAACCACTATAAATAAATATATAAATAAATATTTGACAGGTTATTGTTCTTTTGAAAGTGGGGGCAGTAATAGGTTAATAAAAGTAATGTAAAAATGCATGCTATCTAACACACTGCAGGTGTTTAAGTGTGAACACCAGGGAGATATATCCATAATCTTTAAGACAAGAAAGAAACATCAGCATTCTAAGTAAAGGTGACTAGAGTATGCAGTGACAGAAGGAGACTGACAAGGCAAGGATAAGATTAGGAGACAGTTTAAAGGCTTCATAAAGTGGTTGGCCTCTATTCCTGAGGCAACGGATAAATATTAAATAAGTTTTAAACACTACATCAACTATAATATAAAATATAATTAGAATACATAATTCTAACTTTTATATAGAGACTATACTGGAGAAGAACCCAAAGCTGTGGTAATAATCTAAAAAGACTCAAAGGTGAGATTGTGAGGCAAATCTGAGAGGTTTGAAAAAGGACCAATCAACTAGAATTTGGGAATAAAGGGAATAGAAAAGAGTCAACCCTAACACTTAAAGCTTTGGTTTGGGCAGCTGAGTAAACAAAGATGCTACTTCCTGAGATTAAGTGGGTAGAGGGGCAGAATAAGCTGGACATCCTAAGTCTTGGGGAAGCTGTGGGATAATCAAGCAGACTTGTTCAGTAGATGTTTGCTTGTTCGTTTAGGCTCAACAGAGAAAACAGGACACAGAATCTGTATAAATGATAGCAATTTAATCTTCAAGACTAGGTCTCTGTAGAAATTTACACTATTATATATATTACATATATATATATAAACACTAGTGACTAAGGACAAAAACAATTACAGTATCTTACTCCAAAGATGCCCTCGATCACTTAGAAAATAAAAATACACATATATAGCTAGCTGAAAAAACTTTATGTCACCAGAACACCCTTTCAGCGGGGGAGGGAGGATTCAAAATAATTTATATATTCATTCTTTGGTCAAACTCAATAAAACAGAGAAGCAGACACAGATTTATTAAAAGACTAAAGCAATGAGTAAAAATAAAACCTAAGGGCCAAGAATAAATTAACATAAATCTGAACGCTATGCAGTCAAATACTGTTTGTTCGTTTTTATGTAAAGATTCATATTACGAGTTGTGGAATATTTTAACTATGTAAAGATGTGTTACATTTGTTTATACTGTGGAATATTATTTTAACTGTGTAAGGTGTGTGTAAATTTGTTTTTGCTGCATTTGTTTAACAATGTAAGATGTGTGGTTAATTAGTTAAAGATGGGCTGCATTTGTTTCATGTTGCCTGACCATGGCACCTGAGTGCTCTAATAAAAAACCGAATGACCAGGGCTGAAGAGATAGCTCAGAGGTGAAGAGCACTGACTGCTCTTCCAAAGGTCCTGAGTTCAATTCCCAGCAACCACATGGTGGTTCACAGCCATCTGTAATGAGATCTGGTGCCCTCTTCTGACCAGCAAGCAAGCAAGCATACAGACAGACAGAACATTGTAGACATAATAAAAACAAACAAACAAACAAACAAAAAACTGAATGGCCAACAGCTAGGCAGAAGAAGTATAGGTTGGGCTGCTAGACAGAATAAGTAGGAGGAGAAATCTAGGCTCGAGAGATGAGAAGAAGAGAACAGGGATAAAGAGAGGGACACATCAGGGTCAGTCAGTCACGCAGATGCCAGACAGCCAGACATGAGAGAGAAGCAGTGAAAGGAAGATATACATAAGGAAAGCAAAGGTAAAAAGCCTCAAGGCAAAGGGTAGATAAAGAGAAACAGGTTAATTTAAGTTAAAAGAGCTAGCCAGAAATGAGCCTAAGCTACGCTAATAAGCTAAGCTAATAAGAAATTCCCATGTCATGATTTGGAAGTTGGTTGATGGTACAATTATGGGTCTCTATCAGAGGTACTGTGATTGCCCTGGATAGAGCTTCTAATAGAAGAAGCTAGGCAAAACCAGAGTAAAAACAGAGTGTAAATAAAATTTAAGTCTACCTAAATTTCCATATCAATTTCTGAATAATATTCATTCCCCTTTGCAGTAAGCCCAGAGTCTCCATACACAGTAACAAGCTCTATTCTTCTCACCCAGCATCACTCACCCATTCAGGCCATCACCTAAGCAGTTTGTTGGTCAATTACTAGAATAACTGTTGTAACAGCTGTAGATATGTATATATGTGTTGTGTGTACATATTTCTCATCCTGAAAAAGACACTATTAAGAACAGAGACAATTGAAGGCCAAAGGAAATCCTCTCCTAGGTTCCTCAGCTGGGTGACAATGTTTCAGACAAAACTAGAAGATGACAGGTAGTAAAACAGACACAAAGTGGTTAGTGAAGAACTGAAGGAAAATTGGTTATCTGAAGACACACAAGTATTAGAACAGACTTTAAAGCCAAGAAATCTATGATATACTAGTAACGGTAACTAAGAATTCTAATGACTTTAGTCCTCTATTATCACTTTTAAAATGTGCCATCATATTGACTTAGTATACTATAGGATATGGTCACTTTTTCAAAAAGTTATTAGATGTAGCATAGCATTAATAAATGCCTATTTTATGTTAAAAGAGATTGATGAATTAAAATTAAACTAACCTTTTCCTTTATCTGCCACGATGAATTTCCTTCTGGATACTTCTTTTTCCCCCACTGCAATATTACCATTCCACGAGACTGAAGTAGACTGCCACACACATCTCTCATTAGCCTAGATACACACGCAAGCTGGCATAAACTGAAGCCGTCAAGAAAGCCTGCAATATGTTGCAGTACCTCGAATGGGAGACTGCTTAGATGGTCACTACGTAATCCCAACACACAGTTTCTAGATGGCTCTTCTAATACTGTAGATACACATGGCTGAACTCCAAATGACCTTAAATGGCGATCATGTATAATCTTTGCTCCTTGTGTTGATGGACAAAATCTACGCTGAGAGTAGGTACAACCATAGTAAGCCAAAGGACACCTCTGTTCCATCCACCCATTGAGTCCAGCATGAATGTCACCATGCACATTCTTAAAATGGGAAGAAAATTCTTTTCTTCTAAACAACTGTCCACATACAAAGGTAAACATTGAACGCTGCTTAGGCTGGTACCTAGCAACACATTCCAAAACTAAATCCAGCCCAAGTGTCTGAAAAGGGCTTGGATTTGAAAGCTGTGGATTGGCATGATCACATGCTGAAGCTGAAGCTATTTCTCCAACCATTGTATCTGTAGCTAATATTGCAGATGGAAGTGAAAAAGTCTGTGTTCCAAAGTCAACATGATAAACATCAACCATACGGCTATCAGATATACCCCTCCCACCTGGAGAATCTCCCAGACAAAACAGTAATGCTGCTGTAATCAGATCTATTCCTTGGAGGTCCATGGGATCTTCTGCAACTTCTAAATCTGATGTATCAACGGCTTTGTCTTCCTTTGGTATATACCATGAATTAGAAAGAAACTTGAATGAAGGAGCATGACTGAAGGGTGATTCATCAAGATCCTTCAAGCTCCCTAAGTCTACCTTCTTCCAATACAAGTCCTCCTCACCATCTTCATGTGGCATGAGGATATGTTGAAATGTGCTATCTGGCAAAGCACTGAAAGGAATTATTTCCCTAAGTTGTGCTGCTACTAAAAGTGAACTGGAAGGTTCTGAAGTACCATCTGCTGCTGCACATTCTCCATTTTCTATATTTCTTTCCATGGAATCAGCAGGAAAACTGTGATCCTGGTCTTTGACCGGTGAACACGTTTTTTCCAAAGGAAAGCCATTACAAAGAGTAGAAGTACCAACAGAACTTGCACGTAAGTCACACAGTAAATCACTTGAACCATTTTGTTCAAACTGAGCATTCTGACTTGTGCCATTATGGTCAACTCCACCTACTGCTCCTATCTCATCCTCATGAAGGTGGTCCTGGTCTTTTAAGTTTCTGTCCTGAACGCTATCTCTGTTATTCTCATCCATGTCATTTGTGGTGGCATGAAGACTTGTATTTAATATGCCAATGTCTCTTGTGGCAGAATTCAGGATATCTAAAGCAGCAGCCAAACTTCTGGTTGTTTCTACAGTAGCTTGATAAAGTGCACCATAAGATTCTTCATCAACAGATACCAACCCATTAGTACATGGCATTTCCTGAACACTTGATTTCACTGAAATTTGTTCTCTAGGTTCAGATATTTTATCAGTTGTTTTTGACATCATGGTGGCCACTTTGAGAGATTCCAACAGCATTCTTTGATCTTGAAGAGCCAAGGCCATGTCTAATTGTGCCACTTCATCAACATCTCTGCTTAGATTTTCATATGATTTCCGGTCTGCGTAACTAACTGGCCATCGGTTCCATTCCATTGTACAGCACACCACACTTGCAGGACACACTTCTAGATGTTCAGCGACTTTATTTCGCACCATGGTAAATGGACACCCGAAGTTACTATTTAAGCAAGGTACTCGTTCAAAGGGACACAAGAGTCGATGCTCATCAGCTTTACAAGAATGGAAAACTGCTCCACAAACCAAAGGACAACCAATCAAGTCACAGGAAATCCCAGGCTCTGGTCTGGTCATACACCGTCTACTGACACAGTTCACACAGTGTGAGTGCTGCTGCACCTCTTCTTCCATAATGGCCAGTCCAGCTCTAGTTTTTCAAACAGAAAAAGGTAAAGAAAGTCATTAGACAAAAAAATAGTTGATTTTTCAAAACTGTATAATAAATCAAATCATCAATATACTTTAGGTTATTCTTAAGAATGAAGTATGTAAAGTAGATACAAACATTTAAGTGGTTAATTTGACATATAATTAATACACCCTAAAGGAGCTTAAACACTTTTAGTAACAATCTAGTATTTTAGTATCAATCTAGTCATAGTTTCACATTTACATACTAGGTAACGATATATATAATATGCATATTATGGCTTCCAAATATAATATTCAAAATATAGTATTATATACTAAATAAATTATAATAAAAGTGTTATTTTAACTCCCAAATTTCAGAGAATACTATAGATTTTAGCTTTTAAATTTCAATTAACTTGATTTTGATATGCCTCATTGCAGACCCCTCATCATGTTGTTGAGAATACATGCATATATATATATGTATATATATTACTTCTGAAGGCCAGCTCTCATTCACTTTACTAAATATGAGTTTCTTGCTAGTCCCTAGGTATCAGGCACCGTGTTCCCTCTAGCAATATACAGGGGAATTAGCATCTCCTCTTGAAGGAGTTACAAAACTTGATCACATTATGTGGGTCAATACAATAGGAGGAAAATGGAAGCACAGCGAAGAGAATTAGCATAGAAAGGAAGAAGAGTAAATTACTAAGAAAGGGAAATTCATTTCTGAAGTAACAGCAAATGAATCGACAAAATATGTTCAATCTTCCTAATATTAATGGATTATGTTGAAATGCAAGAAAGTCATGAGAAATGAGGCCAAAAGGGAACTGGGCCAATCATGAATGTAATAGGCTAGTCTATGGATTTCAGTTTTTTAGTAAGTGAAAGTCATTTTAACTTTAACTAGAAACTATCTATGAAATAACAAGGGATTACAGACACCCATCTTCTTTTTAATTTTCTATTTATTCTTTGTGTCTTTTACATTATGTCTCCACACCACATCTCTGAACCTCACCCATCTCCTTCCCCCCACAAGGATAATAAAATTTAAGAGAAGAAATGCTCCCCCATGAGATGGGGGGTTTCTCATTACAGAAGCTGCAGTGTGACACAGTGAGTCACACAGCAAACCCCTCCATCCATAGATTTTTTTACATGCAGGCATTCATCCAAAGAATAACTGGTCTGGTTTGAGGTCCCTGGTTTCTGCGACTCTTCCTGGATATTCCATTGCTGCCCTGTGTCATGGAGATCTTGCAGTCCTGGGTCCACAAGAGTAACCCACCCAACCACCCACCCCATGCTCCAGGAGACGACAGATGGGGTGGATGTTAGGGTGGGTCAACACATATCCCCTGGTCCTGGGCTTAGGAAATTGCAGGGTTGGTCAGCCCACCAATTCTCCCTTGTCCTCACCACCAGAATGACCTCTCCTGCATTGCCCATGCTATTTCACCTCCTGGAGCAAGAAGCAAGGGGTGGGGCCACTTCTCCCACTTTCACATCCTCCGGGTTGGTTCTCTCATACCTACACCACTGTGTTATACGGGAGACATGTAGAGGTTGCTCTCCTGAGTGCGGCAACTGATGAGAGTAGGGCCAGCTCTTCCACCAGCTTCAGGTGTTGATGGGGTGAGGTGGGGTGGGGTGGGGACAGCAATCTCTCCTCCACCCATGCCTGACCTGACAGATGAGTAGGCCAGTTCTCCCATGCTCACTACTTCTCACCCATATTAACACCAATGGAGTTGGCTCTATGTGCTGCCCATGGGAAGTGCGTGGCCTACTCTCCTGGACTCTCTCATCTTAAAACTGATTTTTTTTTTTAACATTGCACCAAGCAAAGTTTATACCAAAAATTAGAAAAAGTGTTAAGCAAAATATGCTGACTTAACTGTAAGCTTATTCAATACATTTTTTTCCCCTAAAATCTTTAACTGCTTCATTTGTTTCTATTAGCGGTGAAGTTAAAAAATACCTGTCTTTTCCTATCATTCTTATTTCCAAGTCAAATTTTAAGAAAAACAAACCAAAACTTGTAGTTTCCTATGCACATATTCAGCGGCCCTCTCATGTGTTTTTATTCCCCACATTAAGACAAAGGTCCTCATCAGTCTAAAGGGCTCTTTTTCTTCTTGCCTCCTCTAGCTCCCATCCCCTTGGCTGTACCTTCCCTTTCCCACCTTATCACACTTAAGCAAGTTCCCTGCTATCTCTCTGGATGTGATGGAGGAGGGTCATCTGTCTATCTGTTGCTTTCATTGGTTAATTAATAAAAAAAACTGCTTGGCCTAATAGGTCAAAACATAGGTGGGTAGAGTAGACAGAACAAAATGCTAAAAAGAAGGGAAGTGAGGCAGACGCCTCAGACAGATGTCATGCCTCTCCTCTCCAAGATGGACACAGGTTAAGATCCTTCCCGGAAAGCCACCACCTCATGGTGCTACCCAGATTAATATATATGGATTAAAACAAGATGTAAAAATTAGCCAATAAGAGGCTACAGATAATGGGTCAAACAGTGTTTAAAAAAATACAATTTGTGTGTTGTTATTTCGGGGCATAAGCTAGCCCTGCGGGAGCTGGGCAAGAACACAGCCCGCCCCTCCTATCACTACATGGATGGTCTTTCCTTGAATACTAATTTTCTTCAGGATTTCATGTCATTTTTCATGACACTATTCCTACTGGGTGTGCTAGGTTTTTCCAACTTTCATTTACCATCTATAGGCAGAAAACTCTTCTTACATGCTGCCTAAAAATGTTTCAAACTCCAGACCTCTACAGCTCTTTATAGTTCTACCTGTATATTGCAGAGGCAATTCAACTTGGTGTTTTCGAAAATAAATTACACTGCAGTGTATAATTTCTAAATAAAAAGATTCGTAGCCTATTTTTTTCATTGGGTGCAGATTGCTGCTGACTCTCTAGCGCGTATCTCCATAAATTCTAGATTGGTTTAGATGGGTAATCACTCCACAAATTGTTACAACTTTTTTCTGGTAGAAGACTAACATTCCTCAACAGGAAGAGCAAAAACCCAGCTGTTACCAACAGAGCTCCTCTGCACGAGTAGCAAAATCCCAAGTTGATATTGTGATGGTCAACAATGCCAGGGAACAATGTACACATTCAACACCAAGTCAGCTTTAAATTGTGCTTAAAAATAACAACATGAGATAAATACTTCCAAAAATGTTGTTTTCTTATAAATTCCATAGGCAAGAGTTTATTCTAAATTTAAACTAGTTGTACTAAAAGAACAAGAAAGGAAATGAGAGATTAAGTATGGCAAATATTTATAATTAAAGCAATGAAAATGTTTAATAAGAATTAAGACAAACCTTGCTGAGGAATTAGATTGTGAAAAAAGCTGGAGCTTTCTTATTTTGCAATAACAAGACTGAGTTTATCTCACATGCTAGAGGATAAGCTTGACTGTTGCTAAGAGGGAAACCTAAAATGACAAGCTGTTTCAACAGTGACCACTGCTTTTAGGACTTCAATGAGCACGTTACGTTGTTGCACACACCATCACATAATCACATCAGGCAGAACACATCTTAAAGATAGCACCTAATTGAAAGGTGCAATTCTGACTAACCTGCAAAAACAGTAACAACTTGCAAAGGTAGAAGGAGAAGGTTCTCAAGTTTCAAAATAAGTAGCATCTTCCACATTACCCCTTCTCAATAAAAATGTTTAAAAAAAATGCAGCCTCAGCAACACATCTGAAGTATTTTATTAGTTTTAAAAGTAAACTTAGAAAAGGGGGTAATATTAATTTTATTACCTACTGTATCCTTCTTAACAAATACCAAGTCAATTTCCTGCAACTCAGAGAAAAATAGTGTTCAGAAGCAGTAAGTGACCTTTCCAAAGTCATCTATCTAGTTAAGTGACAAGATAGGACTTAAATGTACATCTTATCAATTTTCATGTGGAATAGCAGACATGTTTACTTATTAAAAAGTTAAGAAAATAGCTCTTTAACAATTGGTGATTTAATTTTAAGATGTTATTTGAGGAATGAAGATTACACAATTTTGCTTGTAGTTTATTCTAACACTTAATCACTCTTGTGGGTCTATAATTGCTAAAGCACATTACTTTCCTTTGACACATGCTTTAAATATGAACATATGAAACAGTATGAATTTAACCATTCTCAATATAGCTATACAAAGTAGGAATCTAGATCAAGTTTACTTTATAGTTAAATAAACAAAGAAATAAGAAAATATAACAACAGTCTTTCTAGGGAGAGAGATTTGCCTTCAAACTTTAAAGTTCTTCCAGATTTATCCTTTTTCTAATCAAGATCATTATTTTAAAATTTAAAAAGCCATCACAGAGTATTTCAAATTGCTCACAAATCCTGTGGAACAGGTTTTTAAACTTCAATCTTTGATTTATCAGTTGAACAATGACACAGCAGGCCTAGCAGAAAACATGTTGCTAAAATTATGTCTTCAAGTTCAAGATGAGCTTTATTAAACTCAAGAGGTTTTTTAAAACAAGCTAAAATCAATTTCTATTAATCTACACTTGAAAGAATTACTGAAAAGTTTCATTAGACTACACATTATTTGTAAATGATGGAATATTTTACAATAGTTGCCATTTTCTCTAACAGAAGTTGGTTGCCAACTCATACTCTGTGGCTGACTAGCAATCCTTAAAAATAGTTTTAAGACATGGCATTTTCCCATACAATGAAATGAGAAGTTGCCATTTAAGGCACAGAGACAGTACCCCCAACAATTACTCAAAATTCACTAAAATACATTAAGGAGATAACATAATCATAAACTAGCAAAATTTAAGACATGCTAAGAAGAGTTGTTTAATGCAACTCATGGCTGTTTCTAATGTCACCAGTTCCTAAGACACACACACAAATACACACACCTCTCCTCCTGATATGCCATGTGTCTCAACTCCAGTTTCAGCTTGTGACCCTGCCCTAGAACCCAAGGCAAGGCCTGGAGCCCTTACAAAATGCATGCTTATTACATGCTGTACTTTAGGGCATTACTAGGGACAACTGAAAATAAATAATTCATTTTTTTAAATAACTAGTTCTATAGCAAAGCATAATCTCCAAGAACACAAAACCATCTGTCTCATACCATCCTTACGTTCCCTGAATTCAAAATTGTGCTTTGAGATTCATTTGTGTAAATACACAAATGAAAGAATACAAGAAAATCAATTCCCATTCTTGATTTCATGAAAATACACCATGACATAATAAAAACTTACAGATTTAACATTTCAAAATTAGTTTAAAACAAAATATCTCAACCAGTCACACAGAGTTAATGGTGTTCAAACACTTCCTAAGCACCTGGATAATGTGTCCTGGGTATCATATTCATATATATATATATATATATATATATATATATATATATATATATATAATATTCATATATATGTATATATGAAGAAAAAGAGAAAAATAATAGTAAAGACAATCAAAAGGTAATTTTCTACCTTTTTAAAACCTTAGAAAACTGAATATAGAGAAAAGTATCAGGTAAAATAAGGGAAGACAATAGTTGTTGCCAGAACATGTACAGGTGAGCAGGACACAAACGAAAATCAGCTCAAAATATGAAGTGGCAGCAGCCTGACTGCTTAGCATAGCATTACATTTGTGTATTAGATGAAACAGACTTCTACTAAACAAACCTGTTTAATATGAGGCTGATGTGGAACCAATCTTGTCTAATTAATTATAAGGAAGTCCATTACCAAAATTAACAATTGAGCAACCAGTTATAAGTGTCTCTAGGAAACCTTACCTTTTGTATAGTCAGAGGTACTAGTATCTAGTAAATAGAATCACTGAATGACCCACTAATCAAATAGGTACATTTAGTTTTGAAGATAAATCTATACCTCAGTCATTCTATCTGCTTTTAAAGGGTGGAGGTGGTATCCAGGTAGCTCAGCAGTAAAGCACTCGTCTAGCAGATACAAGCATTTGGACTCTGTTTTGAACACAGTAAAAACAAAACAAGCAACAGAAGACTTAAATCTGTGGTGGTGGTGGTGATGCAGATGGCTACCCACGATGAAAGTTAGATTATCACTAAATTTCCAACTCATAGTACATACTCCCAACCCAAAGGTGTTCTAATTCCACTATACTGTTGTGGAAACATAAAAATGGATCAAAAGCAACTACAGAGTGGAAAAGGTTTGTTTCAGCTAACACTTCCAGGTCACAGTTTATCCAGGAGAGTCAGGGTAGGAACTCAAGCAGAAACCATGATGGAATGCTGCTTTTTGGCCTGCTCACTGTCTGATGCTCTTCTTAAATAGTCCAGGACCATCTATTAGTCTAGGGATAGATAAGACTGGGCCCTCCCACATCAGTTACGACTAAAGACAATCCAGCATGGCATCCACCCAGGACAGAGTGAGCTAGGCAATTCCTCAATTGAGGCTTCTTCTCTCAGATAACTCTAGGTTTTGTCAAGTTGACAACTGAGACTAACCAGATGGATAAATGAGTTATATTTTCTAATCATTTCATTAAACTTTACTTCTGGCTTTAAAGAAAAATGAACTAATGGCATGAATATTTATTTTCATGTTCTTATCCATCCTTATGTACTATATCAAAATATGTACTATAATCAAAACATACAACTGTCATTTTTAAACCTGGTCATGGTTAAAGATTTTTAAACAAAAGTTCTAACTATTCACAATTTTCTCCACTAAACAAATAATCAAAGACTTAGATCAGAAATTAAAATGGTAGAAAACATTAAATACCCAGAAAAGAACCTACTTGAATTAATACACAGATAAAAATAGGTCTACCCAAATGGCAGGACTCAGTGGAAGACAGCAAGAGGGAGTGGGCTTCTACCGAGCCTCAGCTTTGGATCTTGAGGCAATGATTCTTTGAAAACAATCCAGAATTTCTGAAAGGCTGATTACAGTTATGTCTGTGCTCAATAGTATACAGACATTGTTACTGTCAAGTGGATGTATTCTGCTTTGCTTTACAGCCAGACTTATAAACATCTTTAAATATTACTTAAATTTATAAAGCTTACTAAATGCAGCTCTAGGAGGAACTACCCCACTGCTAACTTTAACCATTCTTTACAACAAAGACACCTTTTTGACTCAAAACAAAAATACCTAGGTTTTGATTGAGGTATATTTGTGTCTAATCCTTTCCTTTTAACATGTACAATATACAAGCTACAGCTTCAGCTTGAATCTCTCCTATCCATCACAGTTAATACGAGACTTAGTGATTTTCACTCAGTCTTCTTAAAAGTTTTATCATTAAATATAATGTATAAATACAGTGACATTCTCCAAGAACATGCCCAGCAAGAATAACTCCTTTTATAAAAATAAACACCAGTCTTAGAAACTTATTTAAGATTATCTAACAGTAGTATTTTAGAAACAGGCTCTATCAAATAATAAACATATCAACTAAAGCCTGGTTGAGTGACCTTAAAGCACCTTTCCAATCACGCAGGAAGTGTTAATTATTTTATGTAATATTACTTTTGAAAGCATATTTTATTTAAGTATTTTATAACTTAAAACAAAAATATACAAGAAACCCCAAACACGAGCCTAAACACTCAAAAATACTGGATTGAAATTAAACGAATACCACAAAGGCAAACTTCACTTTCATATACTACTCATAAAACTATTTCTAGAATCACATATACACATACAAAAGCTTATGTCACTGTATTAAGTATCAGGTACAAGCTGGCAATCTAAAAAGTTAGCAAAACATCATGTTGTCCCCAACTAAACTCCTACAGTAAAAAACAGTGACTAAGCATAAGGAAGAGTGAGTGATTCAACACAACAGCAGAGGGAACGCGTGCCTTAGAAAAACGCAGCAGGAACCCTTCATGTTATTCTTTTCTTTTTGCCAGTCAGCATGGGATTGTCTTGGAAAACTTTTGACACAAAAACGTGCAAACCATGTTAATGTAACTTACTATGTCTGAAATTTAGCAAACAGCAAATGAAAAGAAATCCAGAAACTCTCTGAGACTTCGTTATTAAAACTTTTAACCCTCACTGATACCAGAATGCCCATAAATAACTTCATCTTGGATCACAGTCAACAAAGCAATCATGGGAGAAAAGGTCAACTCCTTCCCAAGCATCTTTTATCCGGGATTTAACCACAGGACTCCAAAATGGGAGGGCAGGAGAACCACGGTAAACACGGGCCGCCATCAAGGTAAAAATGTATTCTAGTCCCGGGTGACTCTGCATCCACTGTGCGTTCCACGTCCTGCTTCCAATCTGAGACTCCGTAAGTAGGACCCAGAAACTTGCGGGGAGAGTCCAAAGTTTCCCTTTAACAAGGGCCAAGGCTAAGCCTGGGCGCCTCTCACTTCCATGAATGGAAAAGTTACCAACTTCGCTCATCCCGAGCAGACAGTTGGAGATGCCTCGCAGACCTTTAACCCGTTTGTGCCCAAACCACCCCAGTTCATTTCCCACAAGCCAGATGGGGCGACCCCGGCTTCCCAGGGTCCTCCGTGCACAAGGAGAGGGGACCTCACCGGGGTCTGCGTCCCCGGGGGTCGTGGCGCCATTGGCCGGGCGGCTCGGAAGGCCACACACAGAGACGACTGGGCGCGGTCCCGTGTCCCCGCCGAGCAGGACAGGCCCTGAGCAGCGCCGACTCCACCGGGCCCGCTGCCCCCTCGGCCCTGCGCCGTCCCCGGCCGCTGACCCGGCGCAGCCCCGTCGCCCGCGTCCCCGCGCCAGCCTCCCGCGGCCTCGCCACACTCACCGGCCCGCGCGCCCGCAGCGCCGCTCAGGCCCCGGCTGCCCTGGCCGTCGCGCCCGGCGACTCCGCACCGTCACCGCAACCGAACCAAGCACGGAGCCCGGCCCGTCCGACCCCTCTGAGCCTCCGCCCCGGCCAGACCGCCGCCTTTTCTCCTCGGCCTCCAACCGCCACCGCCCTCCTCGTGCGCCCCGCCCCGCTGCGCCCCGCCCCCCTCGGCCCGGCAGCGGGCCCGCGCACGCACGGCCGCCGGGGACGCGCACGCTGTCCTCTGCCGGGGCCGCGACCTGGGGAGGGCGGACCGGAGAACGCGCTGGTGAGCGGCTGGTTAGGCGCGTCTCCGCTTCTCCCGGAGGTGCTCCCGCTCGCCTCCCGCCGTGCTCCCAGCCCGGGTCCGCTCCCGGACCTTGGTTTTCGGGAAGGAATCCCAGAGCTCCTGTGGCACTGTAGAGGACGCTGGCACCGAGGAGCGCGCGTGACCCGTGCTCCTCGCTCGCCCGCCCGCTCGCACTCGCAGGAAATAGGTCAGCTCCCGATTGTCGGTGGTAACGGCCACCACCTCACGTGCCCCAGCCCTGTGACTCGGTGACCCGTTTCCCCTTGTAGGACTCTGCTGCCCGGCAGCCCGCGGAGGACGGTTTCCGTGGGCGACCCACGGGGCCTCCAGAGGGCGCGGCGCGACTTCTGGGAAATACCTTGGGGACAAAAGCGCGGTCACCCTGCTACACACAGTGCCCGTAGGCGATCCGGTTACTACTGCCGGCCCGGCTGTGGAGCGGGGCGGGGGACAGTGATGTCACCGACGCCCACCGTCTGGAGGCCTCATGCCCACTCCCATCCCAAAACCATCGTGAAGGGAATGGGGCGGGGCAGAGGTGAGAAAACCCTGTTGTGTGCTCCTTCTGGTGACAGCATTTGTACCCCAGCTGTTGGGAACGATGGCTCACATGATTCACCGTCCTGAAGGGACTTGCTCTTCAGACTTCGCCTGAAAGATCTGCACACTCGAGTAACAACACAAAACCTTGGGGGAGCTTAGACAAATCACACTGTAAAAGTCCTTTTGTTGTTGTTTTTTAATGAAGAAATTTGGATTTTTGAAACATTCAGAACGGTTGGATTGTGTATTGCTCTTTTTCTTTTTCCTTTCTGTTTTTGGGGGGGTTTTTTTTGTTTGTTTGTTGTTGTTGTTTTTATTTTTAAGATTTGGCTATAGGCAGGCTCTTGTCCTCAGACCAAAGTGTGAGAACCCAAAGGGCCAGGGTAAGAAAAGTGAAGCGGGCAGGTGAAATGGTGGAAAACTTGCTTCTACTCTACACGTGGTCATGATTGAGTCACACACTCTTCCATTACAACCCCTTTTTATAAAAATAAGGGATTCCAAAGGCATCCTATTATTAAATGATAGTATTAGTTGTACTTTTGGGCTTTGTGCTTTTTTTTTTTTTTTTTTTTTTTTTTGGTTTTTGGAGACAGGGTTTAGTCTGTGGCTTTGGAGCCTGTCCTGGCACTAGCTCTTGTAGCCAGGCTGGCTTCGAACTCACAGAGATCCATCATGCCTCTGCCTCCCAAGTGCTGGGAATAAAGGCGTGTGCCACCACCACCTGGCTGGACTTTGTGCTTTCCTAAATCACCCAGTTGACGCTAGGTCACTTTCTCCCTTCTCCAGCTGAGTGGGACTCGGGGCAAGCCAAAAAACCTCTGCCCTTCCGTAAGTGATAACCAGAGACTCAGATTTCCTAAAAAAACAAAAAGCAAAAACAAAACAGGAATCACATTTCTTCAAATATGTCCTCTGTAGTCTACATGGAATTTGGTCTAGACTTGCGACTGAGCAATGCTACCTTTTCTGTGGCTTAACCACCCAGGAAAGCATCAGGTACTTCGGCAATTTAAAGCAGTATAAAAAATAAATGAATGAATTAGCAGTAGAGGTTTGACCTGTCTACTCTCTATAAAGAGAGGAACCTTCCTCTGTTCTCAAGTTATAACAATTAACAAAAGTACAAATCCCAGTTTTCTAGAGGTCATTCTCAGTGTGGGGTTCGATGAAAATGATAAACAAAAACTAGAGGACAGGAAGTTGGTAAAGTTTTGGCTGAGCCAGAAGGAGAACCTGAGGTTCCCAGCACCTGTGTAAAAAGTCAGGTCTAGTGGCTAAGGAAATACGAAGGAGGATTTAATTCTGGCACTGGGGAGGCAGCGGACCAGCAGGAAGAGAGTAGATGGTTCCTGAGGAATGGCACTCTACATGCATACACAGAACCTACCCCATAACACCGCAGTCACAAAGCCTGCACACAAGACTAGACTGCAAGAGGTAGAAGTTTTCAGAGCAAACCCATCCTGACAAATCAGCCTTCCATTTGTTCCCTGCCAAGGCTAACAGCATCGAAATTTGAATAAACTTCTGTGCCCAGCTAGCCCACCAGCCTGTGGCCAAAGCAACCAAAAAGTCAAGACTCCAGATTAAGTCATGTGCTAATTAGGGAAAGCATCACTGGCCAGAGACAAGTGTGAGCGGGCAGGGGTAGATTTGCAGCTGTGAAGTCTGGAGACCATGGGAATTCCCAACTGGGACTGTGTGGTAGGAAGGGCCGTTCTTCACAAGCCAGTTCGAATCACCTAATACCAGGACCTGAAATTTAACAGCTCCAATTATCTCTCCAATACAAATTCATTGGAAACACGAAAAAATGCGGTTGCATCAAGTTGTGTGGGAATTTAGAAGAAACCTCCCAAGAACAAATTTTATAGCTCCAAGTTTTAAATAAGTAATCAAAGGAATTTAAATCCACCTGAAATGTTGGAAAATAGAAGACTCGGGTTTTGTCCATAAGTACCACAGACCTTTTAAACCATATTGTAAAAAGAAACATATATATCAGTGCTCCATGTCTTGAGTTAATGAGATTATACTTATCAATACAGTGCCTAGAATAGAGACTATATATTTGCTCAATAAATGAATTACTCTGCCCTTCCCCAACCCAGAAGCTGAGCCTGTGGAAGTGTTGTTGCATGTCAGGTGACTAGCATTTGGTGGTACTCCGTGTCTGGTGTGGGAGGTGAGGATGTAAACAGGTGGACTCAGATGGAAATGACAGTCATCCTTTTTCTCATCCATCTAAAACTATCTGTGTAACTACACTATCAGTGTTTAGTAGAGAGGTGGTATTTAATTTCTGAATATAAAATTTTCACTCAGAAAAAAACTGATATACATTAAAAGGCTAGAAGAAACCAATTTTAAAACCCCATAAGTGAACTCAGCCCTACTGTTCTCTGTTGGAGGGGTAGCAAAGACAGATGCCACCAGCTAATGCCATGGTTAACAAGTGGACCCAGAGGGAGGTGTTGGCAGCAGACAAGCCCTGTTTTAAGTTGTTCTACTCACCCTCTGTGGCACATGGCCGCAGAGAACATAGTAGCTTCATTTCTTCTGATCCTGAAAATCCAGCTAATTACATGAAAGCCCTATGATGTTTTTCAAATTTTCAAAAGCCCCGTGTATGCATGGCTGGAGGTGGGAGGGATTCAGTCATCACAGAAAAGTCGACTTTTTAGTCAGCCATAAAAATGACAGACTAGAATTTTGTAGTTATTTCTAGGAATAGCCTGATTCTTAAACCATTGGCATGTCACTTTCCTCTAGAATTTAATTCCTGTGCTGAATGTTAATTAGCCCTTAGTTCCTTTGGAAAGTCCCCTCTTGTGCCTGACTCTAAGGTCGCTGTGACCCATGCCTCCTAGGAGTTGTAAATGTGTCTAACTTCACCTTGACATTCCTGGGCCCTGTAATTTGCACATTGTAATGTGCAATGTTACCAATAGGGTATGTCAAAGGCCAACACCCCTGATTTGAAAGACTTTTCCTCCTTACGATTTTTATGAAGCAAGTTGTCACTCTGGGAAGCCCACGTTTTGTGGAATTTCCATATTTTGTGGAATCGGAGGGACACCAATGACAACAGTGGAGATAAATAGATCGTAGAAGACAAAACAAAACCAAGACACTTTCTTCACATTTACAGTGGTGCTGATTAGTAGAATAGAAAGACAGTTTTTACTGCTATTGGTAGTTACTTCTGAAAGTCATCTATGGGTCCAGAGAGATAGCTCAGCCATTAAGAGCCCTTCCTGCACTTTCAGAAAACCCAAGTTCAGTCCCCAGTTCTCACATAAGGCAGCTCTTAGTCCCCCAGTTCTAGGGGATTCAAATTCCTTTTCTTGGCTCCTCTGTCGCTTTATTTACCTGCACAATCCACAAACACACCTATACACAGAATTAAATAGTCTTCTCTCTCTCTCTCTCTCTCTCTCTCTCTCTCTCTCTCTCTCGTTTTTTGAGACAGGGTTTATCTGTGTAACTTTGGCTGTCCTGGAACTCACTCTGTAGACCAGGCTGGCCTCGAACTCATAGAGATCTGCCTGCCTCTGCCTCCTGAGTGGTGGGATTAAAGGTGTGCATCACCACTGTCCAGGAAAAATAGTCTTATTAAGAGTTATTTGTATTCTGATAGTATTTTGCTAAATTTGTGATTTAGGGGATAGAGACCATATTTGTGCCATCTGATACAAAAATTCGTTTAAATAAACCATGTTACAACAGAATTCTAACATAAACCTCAAACAAAGAGACATAGTATTTCCCACCACAGGAGGTCATTGAGAATATTTTTTGAAAATAAATCATTTAAGCTTTAAAATTCTTTGTTTATTACAAAAGTCAGTCCATACATGATTTTTACTGATAATGTGCTCTAATTTTCCTAATGAGTTTCATTAACATTTCATTAATATTAATTAAGCATTAGACATAACGACCTGCTAATGAGGCAAAGCTCTATGATTTTGCTGTAATTCAGAAGCACTGAGGAATGAAGACACAGTGCATTTGGAGTCAGCCACTGAAATACAAGCGATGTGAGAATGTACTGCTCAGGGGTGACAATCTTGTGTCGACTGGAGAGGCCACACATTTCTCTGACTGTGTGACCTATGTTCTTGGCCTAGATGGCTGTGTCATGGCTACTGCTGGCTGCCTCCTGCATTGTTCTGAGCCAGGCTGGCCCTGGTCCACTTCATTAGTTGTGACCCTCTGTCTTCCAGCCCTGCTCTCACTCCCTCAGCTCTTATCCTTCCTGATTCTATTGTCAGTGAGGAAGAGAGACATGCTGAAAGGCTGGTGGCTGGCTGGCTGCTTATGGTGGCTCATGCCTGTAGGAAACCTGTTGGGTTATTAAAGCTAGCCTGCCTTCATATTTCATTCCCAACATGTCTGAGAATTAAGGTACCTTACACAGTAAATGGAATAAATTAATAGTTTATTATTAAATACATTTCTTTCTTTAATATAAAATTCCAGAATGTGTTGCTTTGGTCACTGCACTGGTTTGGTGTGGTGCTTTGGACTTGTCTGATAACTGCTGTCTCGGGTCCTACACATCAATTCACACCACTGTGTTCCCTAATCTTTATGAAGTATGTCAATTGTTTCTTCTCATGCTAGTTTACAAGGAATGGAATTACTTGAGACACAGGTTTGTTTTTATTTTTATGGATACCATGAATTATGTTAGCCATTAGATTGCTCACACCCCATTGTCTGTCACAGTAAAAGCTTTAATTCCAGTTGTGATTTGATCTTGCAGTTTTTGTTGAGCTCTTTCTATGTTAGTTTTTACCAAGTGCTCTGTTTCTCTGCGTTACTCTGATGTAATTTGTAGTTAGTGATCTGTTCCCCCCCCCCCACCATGCGGGGTTCAGATATGCCAACCCCTAGAGATTCTGCTTGAATAGTTGCTGTCTGGGTCTATTCCACTCTCAGGCCACCTTCTGAGTTTGGTCACTGATCATTGGGCACTTACCCTTGTACAAAAATAGAAAGTTGATCCTAGAGGTGACACATAGTTCACATCCATTCAAGTACGAATTTTAAAGAAGTTACATTTTCAAATTCCA